GGGGGAGGGGGGGTTATCCCTGATCCGATGGGTGCTAAGATAGCCCTCCCTCAAAACCACCGTTGATATTATACCAGAGTGTCCATACCGCGTGTGTATCCCAAACCATCCGCTCACTAATTACGAGTATAAATATAATATTTTTATATTATAGTAATAAATTACTCTAAATAATAATATTCCTCGCTACCGTCTCCCGCCTAAACTTTAAGACTTGCATAACTATTTGAATACTTAATGAAAATTAATAATTCAACTTTAAAAATATTTACATAAATTAGTTCTATAAATTGGGTAACTGCGTTTCATTTTTATTTTCAAGTAACGCAGAAACCAACATTTTAATTTTTAATTTCCATTTTAGATATAAATAAAAAAAAATTATAATAATAACAATAATAATCTCTCCTACAATACGGACGATGATAGTACTAATAAATCACCCCGGCCGATGACTTCTGCATACATAATAATATAATATAATTTTATATGTTCTTTTAGGATAATATATTATACGATCGGAATTTTTTTTTGTTTGTCTCCGACAGGGTATCAGATACTACCACCGCCAGCCAACGGCGGCATCAACGAGCCACAAGACTGTCCGCACTGCCGACGGACGTTCAGCTGTTACTACTCACTGAAAAGACACTTCCAGGACAAGCACGAGCGGTCCGACACCCTATACGTGTGTGAGTTCTGCCGACGGCGGTACCGCACCAAGAACAGCCTGACAACGCACAAGAGCCTGCAACACAGGGGCTCGGCGGTGGCGCTTAAACGTCTGATGAAAACCTTCGCCGCCGCCGCTGCCGTCGCAGCAACCTCGTCCACCACTGTCGCAACGACGCCGCCGCCGCCGTCCGAGTCTCCACTACCGAAACCACGGTCACGGTCACCACTGGTCGTCTGTAACGGTTGCCAGTCGTCATCGTCGTCTGCCCCGTCTCCGTCTCCGTCTTCGTCTCCGTCACCGCCGCCGTCGCCGCCAACAGTTACCTACCGCAAACACGGTATAGGCGAATAACATAATATAATTATAATCTGGTCAATCGCTTAACCTATTATGCTGTTGTCGTCGTATTATGCAGCTGGTGTAATACCATATAATTGACGTGACGAGCGAGCGAGTGGTATACAATATTATATATAATATTATTAAATATATATATATGTGTGTAAATAATATTACGATAGTTTAGCGTATATATACATACATATTATAATATTATATCATTATCATTATTATCAAACACCGTTGTTGTTGTTGTTGTTGTTGTTGCTGTTTTTGTTGTGTCGGTGCTGCCGCCGACGCACTGGAAACGACCGGAAATGCACACGGCGCATACGCGTTCCGATCGTCCACCGCTCGTTTCCAGTGCACCTGGGGTCGAATGTCATCTGAATATAGCAGTATCTTAGTAGGTAGTAGAAGTAGTAGTAGTTGTTAGTATTATTTAATAACTGCAGTAGCCACGTTGACCGTGGGGGTGGTTTGAACTTGTTCGGTTTTATTTTAAAACTATTTTTTTTTCGTATAAGTATATCATTTTTCTGACTCGTGTAGAAAAACATGGTTTTTTCTCTCGTCTTTTTCCCGCCAAAAATGGCATTTTTAATGTATACATTAATTGTATTGGTTTAATAATTCTTGGTAAAACGAAAAAAAAAACAAAAAAACGTCGTTATCTTATATATTTACTTTTTGCGTACTTGCAATTTGACTGACATGATTGATCTACATAATTTTTTTAATTTTAATTTTAAATTTAATAAATCTGTATAATTATACTTATAAGGACATATCATTATAAAACCAACAAACATTATTATTATTATTATTATTATTATTATTATTATTATTATTATTATTTCCATGTGCACTCGTAATGAGTTATTTCTTGCGGGGGAGCAACACGTGCATAGTCCGAGAGTAAAGCAAAATATAATACATATACGATTCCCCCTTCTGTGTATACAAACTTTGACGACACACATAGTTTGATGAATGTTTGTTTATTATTATTTATTTAAATATCGATGGTATACTAGTCTTCGTTTTTTCGAATGTAAGTTTTTTTATTATTAGTGTTGGGCGGGTATAAAATACTTCTTTTAGGCAAAACTATCAACAAAAAAATAAAATAATAATAACAAAGTTAAATATACTTGAACAACCAACAACAACTGACTATCATTTTATTATTCGATGTACACAAAAAACCATTTAGGTGTCTTTTTTGAAATATTTTATTATTATATTATCATTAAACATGTGATCGGTTATATATTATTATCATAAACAATATATATATATTATATATTATAATAACGAAGGGCCTTAAATTACTACTTAGGAACCGGAAACGATATATTCATATATATATTATTATTTCATTCGCATTATAATTACTCTATATATTTACACACACATTTTCTACTGTTATTACTACGTAATAGTATTCGTTCGTTTTTTTTCCTTTTATTTTTTACAGTTGATGATATTCGTTGTTACACACTACATATAATATATTTAATAGGCTCTAACAAATAATATATAATATATACAGACTGACTGCAGAAACATTGGGTATTATATTTCATTATTTAGTTGTAACAAAAACAATAATAATAAAACACGCATTCTGTTTAAATATTATATTATCAATTATATATTTGCATTGTTGATCCGTTGAAATAATTATTATTATTATTATTATTATTATTATACTATATTAAATACAAACTCAAAGTAATAGTACATTTCACACAATAACCGCTGCCATATGTGATCAGTTTTTATTTTTTTTTTATTTGTGTTTTTTTTTTCATTTATATATTATATATTATAATATTACATAATATGATATGCAAATATTATTTTTATTTTATCAATGTACATTCCGATACCACTAACATGTTATTTATTTTGTACAATTATATACCCATGTAAATATATTATATTATTAAGTTATTTGAAAGAAAATATTGAAAACAGAAAAGAAAAAAAATTAAAACATTGTGTTTGTCCATTATCTATTTGTTACAATGACACTTGTTAGTTCAATGGTAACTTTCACGACATTTTAAAGCACACATTTTTTTTTTTTATATTTAAAGTTTATTTTATTGACCTATGTTTTATTTTATTATTATTATTTTTTTTAACCTTGTATTACCGTCATTCTATAACTATTAATAACAATTTATGATTACATACACTTAGTACAAGTTCAGTGTAAAAGGGTAGATATTGTGCCAATTTACGAAGATATTTTTTTTTTTTGTATGATAAGCGTATATAAAACGATTTTCGAATAATGTAATATATAGTTTTGACTTTTGTCTGTATAATGATTATGATTATTAGCATTATGTAATGCGATCAATTATTCTTATGTTTTGTAGATATGGTTAAGATTTATTATGATTACAGTATTATATACATACATATTTATTATATATATGTATAATGTAAGTATGTATTCGTATATGATGTATAAGGACATAGCGCACACACGATTTATATAATGAATTTTAGTGGCATTTTTTTCGTTTGGCCTAAACAAAGCCCGCGAGATTTACGTGTGAAATAGTAAATAAGAATCGAAATTCAGTACAAAATAACTAGAAATTTTCAAAAAATAGTTGAACTTGTTGCTCAATAATGTTTAGAGACGGTGTTTAACAGCAGTTTTCAACAAATCTGTAGTCTCACAGAACTTATATAGTTTTTTTCCAGATTAATTTTTGTTTCACTTATTGGTTTTCTTTATTTTTTTACATATTATACATATATTCAACGATATATAACAATAGATTTTAATTTACAGAGTAAATGGGCATTAGACAATTGACATCCGTTTTCATCAGTATAATATTTAATATCTGTTCTGTTTCTCATCACCTGCAGCAGACAAATATTATTATTATTATATTACATGATTACTATTATTATTATTATTATTATTATTATTATTATTATTACAACAACCTTAACCTCTTTACCTAGTATCAATTTTTTATCAGGGTGAATACTTAAAAAGAAAAAATAGAACATAATATTATGTATAAAACAACGATTTTATTTTATTGTGCTACACAGTACCAATTATTAATTTTTAAACAATATTAATAATTACAATATAATTATTATTATTATACCTGTTTTGCAATATTCGAGCATATTATATAAACCACAACACCAGACAAAGTGTTAAATATAATTATTGTAATGATATAATTTTATACATTAAGTACCATAGTCCATACAAATATATTTATATACTCGTATATATATATATTGTAAGAGCAATACTTTTCGTCAATGTTTTCTTTCCCCCTCCTGAAACTTGTTAAAAGAAATTACTGGTTTTCGACCACTAACAATTTTTTTACCTGATTGGTTATGGTTTACCTGCTATAGCTAAATTGTATATTACCTAAGTAGTTGTTTTGGTGTATCATTTTAATTATTCACTGTTATGTTAATTTTTTACACACACGTACGTACAACAAAACATAGATTTTACTTACCGAATAATGTTGAATACGAATATTATATTGTTACTGTTTAGTACCTATATATAACATAAGAATACATTTTATTTTTATTTTACAGTTAACAAAAAATCCGAATAGTCAAAATATCATGTTTGGGGTATTTATATTATACACAACACAAATAAGTACAATCATAATTTTTATGTGAATCGTCTGTATGTACCTTTTTTTTTCTTCAACAAAATATTAATCCATCTACCTCAATAGCAATTGATTCTGCAATAATTAACGATTTCGTTTAAGTTACAAATTAATTATTAAAAATGATTAATAATAATAATAAAAAAAAATCATAATATTGTGTTATTATTATACATAAACATTGTAGCCATTATATATATGTATGACAAAATTGTAAAATTAATTAAGACATAAAATATAATAATGTTTAATTGCTATAATTTAAATAATTTAGGCGTACATATAATATTATATATATATATAAAAAAAAATAATAAGAAAACCAAAACCAACAAAAATAATATATATTTTTAAATAATTATAACTATGTTTTTATTAGTCAAAATTATTGGATGTGTTGACGAATTTTTCAATGTGCAATGTGTATTTCATAAAAATTATGTACAATTCGAAAATGAATATACTGTGTTATAATATGTAAGCATATATATGTACGATATTGTTTTTCATTTATTTGCGCACCATTGCCGGTGAACCGTTTTCGCACTGATACAAGTGTCTACAGTTTGACCCACTCCTGCCGTTCCTCTCAGCCGTTTCCAAACGTTTCTTGAACTCTTCGGGGATTTGATCGTTTCCAACGACTTGGGCGATGGTTCTGTTGAAAAAAATCCAATGACGAAAATAAAATTCATCAGATACATGTCTTCGACAGAATGACACTTGTGATGTAATGAAAACGCGTAGTGTTCAGACTTTATCTAATTATATTATAAGTGTGATCCTAAATACTAATGATGGTAAGAATTATGAGGAGCCTAAATCGATTTTCGTACCAACACGTTTATACCCAATTGACTAGTTTCGTTTTTTATATTATTAATATAGACGTACCATATGCGAGTAGAACGATTGGGTTCATATGCGTGCTTAGACGCTGTCGGCAGGGTTGTCAAAAATAATAGTTAAGGATTGCATATGTACAGGTACTTAAGTTCTGCTCCAAAAACTATTTGGGAGTCATAACATTACTAATCACTATTAATTATACAATCAACCACATAAGATTTTACTGCAGCCTGCAATGTCACATAAAATAAAATAAGGTTCATTATAATAGGTAGAAGCACTATAACAGGAGGGGCCAGCAATAAGAGAGTCACGAGTCACACAATATAATGAAAACAATATGAAGATCAACAAAAGTAAATTGATACCTATAATTATATGAGTAAAAATGTTAAGATGCTAGCCTTGGTTTGGCCACCCCTGCACTATATAGTGTTTATGCGTAAGTCAGTAGTTTAGTCACACTTTCATTCCTATGTGGTCCGTAAGGAATAAGATGTATGTATATTGTTATAATTTATAACTGGTTTATTTTTGTTCGAATCGAATTAGGTACTTGATTTTTTTTTAAATATTAACAGTTAACATCGTATTATTCCTAATATATATTATGTGTATAATCTTTATACTTCTTAAAACAAACACAATAATGTCGACAGAGTATTTACCTCTCCCTACACTATCTGCCACCCGTGCACATGCTTTGAGTAGGTGGAAGTCTTTTTGGTAAGACACTGTGAATATAAGAGGTATGCATATTATTATAATCGACATCATTACGTTGTTTTTCTAGGAAGATTCTGTACAATTCAAAAATGACTTTTCCTAAATTAAAAATTCAATGGCCAATTTCCAATCGAGATAAGCTACACATGGATTGCGAGAAGTGTTTGTTTTTTTTCAGTTTAAATATTTCAAAAGACAAAATTAAAACACGATACACCGTTACATACATTACTCCGCTGTTGTGTATTAGTATTAAAAATATTTTGTACCTAGTAATACAAATGTACGAGGCCTAAATCTCGTAAAAAGATTAATGGATTTTTTTAAGACAGCTAGAATCAGACTAAAACATAGAATAATGTATAGGAAAATCCGTACACATGTAAACATCAACGCGCTCTGTCCGTACACTCGAAACCGCCCGGTACAATGTGTTTTGTCACATTACACCGATGCAAGTCGAAAATGATTTTTAAAGAAAAAAATGTTTTGATATAGAATACTATGGACAGTAAGCTTACAGCGACACTAATAGCAGGGTATAGTTATAAATAATAAATAAGTATTTTAATTTATACATTATACTTGAATTCCGTTCCAACAACTATTCAGAGGAGCTAAAATTATTTCAACCACTACTATAATACCGTAATAGTCGCATAATAGTCAATAGTAGTCTTTACTTTAATTACATTCCCATTGTCATAGTCCGTACGGAATGCCAAGAATATTTTAAGTTGGTATATTATTTTAATTTATATAACTGGTATATTTTTTTGTTGGGCCGAATTACATAACTAATATTCTACGTATCGCCAATTAACACCTAATATCTACAATACACATAGTCTTGTACTCCTTAAAATTGTTAAAAATAATTCTTAAAAATTAAAAAAAAAACAAAAATTAAAGAGTAGTCAACTATATTACACAAGATACTCGAACTACCCCGTGCGTACGCTTACGAGTAGATAGATACGAGAGGGGGTATACGGAGCTTGGAGGAGATGGAAATCTTTTTGGTTATACTGTAGCTAGATAGAGGCATGTATAATATATTTTCCGTCATGGCGTTGTTTCCCCCTAAAGATGTTGGAAATTATACGAGAATATTAACACATTACATATTAACATAACAAGTTTTCGACAAAATCAGTCCTGTTGTTTTGTTGAAATTCAAAAATAAATAACTTTAGTTACTTTACATTTTCACAAAATATTTATATTATCTTGAGTCTTGACAAATTGACAATATGCAATTTTTAAATTTTTTCTTTTTGTCTAGCTATTTATGTAAATTTGAAATGTTCAATTTTTTTTTATTATTAATACAGAGTAGTTGATTACTTTTTTTATAATTTAAAAATTTTGAAACTTAATACAAAGTTCCTCAATATGTTGTTCAGTGATTTATAGTAATTATAAAATATCTAAAATATATAGTTACAATTTTTTTAAGTATTTCAAATTTCAACTTTGATATCTTTGTATATTCAAGATTTCGAACTTTTTTGCTATTTTGTATTAATTCAAAAAAATAACAATTTTAAAGCTAAAACAATTCAATTTTAATTTAAATTATTATTCATTATAATTAATGACATTTTCACTGGCTTTTTTACTGTTTTTACTTACTCACGCCGATTTAAGGTATGTGTTTTACAAGTTAATAACAATAAACAATGGTATATTATATAAGATGATCCTGCCCATAACAAATTAAATTCCTGCGGATTTCTCAATGACCTCAACTCTGTTAAATACAAACAGCACAGATTTTTTACGCGGGTTGTCCTAGACTGTTTTATACTGGTCTAAAATTATATTAAACAAAAAAATTGTTTTCTTTTCTGTTAGACTGCAACCATCAGCATCAATAAGTGATAAAAAAATGGTAGTTTTTCGTCAGACAACCATGAACCAATCCCTGGGTGAGTCCTTCTTTAAGATAAAATGGCTTTGAGGTGCATATCCTCAGGTATATGATTCCCAATGTACTGAATTTAAAAACTATGAATGTGATAAAATTTTTGGTGGATTGCCTACACATACCACACACGCACACAACATTGTCTCGTATTAACATAGGTAGATAATATTAAAATAATAATTATAATAATAATATGTTATGCAATATTTATCAAAAAATTAGGTCAATATAATATGAACCATAATATTTATAGAAACATAAATTACTAATTATCTGTTGTAACATAAATAAATTATAAAGTATCCATTCCACTCGTCACCACTCAGAATTGTTTTTTGCACCCAATGATTTATCATCGAATTCAAATTTAAGATAACCATGAGAGTGGTCAGTGTCCAGTGACCTACTAAATTATGAGGTACACTCTCTAACCTCAGTAGTTACAGGAGAGCAATGTCCCCAGTTATAACATGCCTTATTTTTTTTGGACGGGTATTAATTAAAAAAAACTAAAAGTCAGAAATACGAAAATAATTTTTAAGATACCGCTGAAACGACTGTCACTTCTGTATATACTTAAATAGCCGGCTGGACGCTGGTGTATGGCGATAACGTATACTACCTAAACATTTTCACTTACTTAATCAAAGATGAAATACTGTAATAATACGAATGAACTGTAAAACACAGTTTAATGAACCTCTTCATGGTATGTGTAAGATAAACATTTGGAAACTTACGTGGTCAACAATCGTTTGTCTGTTTCTGACCCGCCTGGTCCATTCCGAGACATTACTTCACAGATGGACCTCTCGACGCAAGTGTACTTTTGATGGTAAATGCTCTCCACCATGTTGCACACCAAACACGTTTGTTGATCTACCCCACGTTGTTCCTTCCCTGCGTTGAACTATATGTCAAAAAACAAATTAATTTAATACCGTAACTGATATTATTGATATAATGTGCAGTAGGTATCCCTCAACAAATATACAAATATACCACCGCGGAATCGTACATATTATTTTTTGATTTTTGTTATTTTTACCATCAACATGGTCGATACTTGTTTTGTCACCTATGGGTATATCCCCTACTTTTAATTGTTAAAAAATTATTTGCAAAACACTCGAGTGTACACTAATTTTGATGAGTCCATCCTTTTTTGTGATTTTGAATGTAACAGCATATACCCACAAAATATCAACGACCAATGAAAAGCGAAGGATGACTCCCACTCTTTTCTCGAAATTATGCGTATCACAAAGTTGTGATCATACCTATTTATTTAGTCATGATCTAATTCATTGAACCGTGGGACTGTAAAGTGTATGTGTCTATAGCTCGAGACACTCAAGCAGACCACGGTGTCTTGGACATGGGTTGACCCTGCTCCTTCATGGAACCATGTATACATGTGAATTTTATGATATGAGAACTTCAAAAAAATATCAGAATATATAATATAATATTGTATTTATGCGTCAATAGTTCTTCATTTAGCTTTGAATCAAAATTTGTAAAATTTTCATAAAATATTGTGTAAAATAATATACAGAGGTCCCTCAAGGATTTACCCATTAGGATATCTCCTGATATAATAAATATATCATAAATCTGTTTTTTTTATTAGACTCACCGAGCCAAGGACAACATACATTTTGATAATTAATTAAATTAAATTTTTTGGTAAAAAAGTTAAAAAAATGTATTTTTAATTTTTTTATTTTTGAAACAATTGAAGATATCCATTTTGTAGAGTTTATTTTTCTGAAAATTTTGACCTTTCAACATTTAATTTTCATTAATTTCATGATTTTTAACTATTTTTTTAGTTAATTAGTAAAACGGCAAAAAACCGGTTTTTATCCGGGTGGCTAGTCCCCCTCTACGGCTTATAGATATATCTTCAAGAGACACTCTGTCTATTATGATATCAGTACAATCATCTCATCTATAGTAAAAGCACAACTTTTCAATTTGAATCATCCGCAATAGCCCCGCCCACATGTGAGCAACCTGCTTAACATGTAATGTGGGTGAAGACGAAAAAAGTTAAAGATGTATAACGCAGTCATACTGAATCAATGCGAAACAATTAATATGATTAATTGAAACATAATTGATAACGTCAAACGTATATGAATACGTGATTCACTAAAGAAATCGAGCCTGCATTCTACAACTTTCTTAATATATTGAATACGTTATAATATTTCCACGTTAAACGGCTGAATACGAGATGGTTCTGTTTTCTTGAACAACGTGTTGATTGTAGATGCAGGACGTAGGTATCCAATATTACATTTTTGATCGACACTAACAATAAATATTATGCATGCTTGTTTTTACTGAAATTAATTTAAATATTAATATTCGTGGCTCTTACTCTTCACACATTCGGGTTCAGGAGAAAACGATCGATGTCGAACGTCGGAGGTGAAACTCGTTAATCTCGTGGAATATAGCAAAGGTATATCAGATAGACAACTATAAGTCGTCAAAGAAACACAAAAACAGATTTTGGAAAAGGTTTTGTGCTATGTACAATTGTGTTTTATAAAATATAACCTGCGAGTGCAAATTTGAATGTTATCGTGCATTGTTACTTGTTTTTATGTAGAAATTATTTCGATGTGTTATTCTTTCAAGAATTCAAGGGGTCTTTATATTAGAGTGCAATGTTGTTATATTATAGTATAGTGATTGTACCACGTTTACAGTTGATCACTGCAGACGGAAAAAAATTATTCAAAAACCTGTTGATATTTTTCACAATAGACACTGGAGGTTTTAAAGCCTTCAATTTATCATGTATGGAACTATTATTAGTTATTACCTATACATATATATGGTTAATTAAATCGTAAATACTGCGCACTAATCGGTCGGATAGATAAAATCCAAATAGGCACTCCTCTAGGCTCCGACAACACCGTCGAATCGTGCGCAGATCGTACGAGATCTACCGGATAGGAACGCCATAAATCATTTTGTTTTTTTCGGAAACCACAAATAGAAAAAAATAGGTCATCTACACGCCGGTCTAATAAACGTCGTTTGTACGCTGTGCCCCGCGAGGCGGAATGGTAATATTTTTCATAACGGAATCGTTAACACGTGAATTCCCATTGTCGTATCTCGTATCTACCTACCTACACATATATTATACAGAGTGATTAAAATATTATATAGTTTTACGTAAGATGCACATTTTTCAGACAATTTTAAAATACTTTATTGTGCATATAGTATGAATCAGAGTTGTCATGTTTAAAATATTTTGTTTTGAAATACAGTTTCAAATAACTAAATTAAACAAAATATATTATACGGTTTTATAAGCTTGGATAACATAAAAAACAGTTAAATTAAATTTTAAAAAATTATAAGCACTTGGAAGTTAAATCTTATGAAGACCTGAAAGTTTTTTTTAAAATAAATGTTAATATTATTTGATTAAAATTTTGAATTTTTACTTTGTAAATTTGTAATCAATATTATTTTGATAACAATCGAGTAATTAATAATATTATTTATACATAATATATATTATCTATAATGTATTTGTTTTAAAAAAATTTCTTATACTCATCTAAAATCAAACAATCTTATTCCTGACACAACAGATTAAATATTGTACATTGTAGATTTGTATAGGTCAGTTCTGAGATCACTAATAATTGTAACTAAATGTTTTTTTAGTTTTTACTCATAAATATTAAATATGTTAATACTAAATGGTAACTCTACACTAGCCTTCACCCTATATGTGTCGTCTTGTAAACATTATTGATTATCTAACCAGCAATGTGAAAATAAAAGTATATAAATATTAATAACATTGTATTCAATAAAATAATAACTATCTCAGTTTACCCTGTTAAAAATGTCTTAAGTCAGTGTAGGTATTATCGAATTTTCACTGTTTTTTACTTGATTTTTAAGTAGGTTTATATATTTATAACTTATATCAATTTATTCATTAAAATGACCACCATTAATTTAAATTTTAAACACTTGGTTATAGAGGTAAAATATTTATCTAGTGATTGTTATACGAAAATAACGAGTATTGGGCTAATTTAGCTATAAATAATATTACATAATATGTTACTTAAACATTTAACATTTCTTTGAAAATAAAAAAAAATATATGTATGGATAAGATTTTTTAAATAGTATTTCTTTAACTATTCTGGACAGAATAAATGTATAATACATTTTATTTATTTATTTATTTATTTATTTATTTATTTATTTATTTATTTATTTATTTATTTATTTACTTATTTATTTATTTATTTTTATTCAAGAATAGAAAGCCTCTATAAAGTGGTCATTGGCTTGTTTTACATTATGTGGCACTTAGATAATTTAAATTAGACTATACAATCCAATTTCTTTCATAAGTAAAATTATTTTATTTATTTATAAATTTATAAATTTATAAAAATTATAAATAATAAACTGTGGGATAGATAATTGTTATTGATATATGAAGATTGACGATAAAGTACTGTCTAATGCATAATACAACTTAAAAATATGGGGGTTGACACGAGAAATCATGTAATCAAAGACTTAAAAACAAAATTTTTAGTTTGAAAAAAATAATATTTTTAAATATTTAAAATCATACATTGGGGGAGGGGGTAACCACACAACTGCACAGTAGGAGTCGAGTGTACCTCATCGTTGAGTACCTAAGTCACTGTGTGTTAAATTTAAATTCAATGATAAATAATTGCATACGAAAAACGATTTTAAGTGAAGACTATGGTAAGGCTATATATTATTACTAAGTATATTATTTTATGATATATTTATACTGCAATTACAATAATTTATTTCGTTATTTGTAAAACAGTAAGGTAAATTAATTTTCGCAGAACAAATCTTGTTTATTTAATTATTAAAAAAGTTTAAATTTATATCATATTATATTACTGTTATTACATTTTGAGTCAAACCCGATTTGCCGTTAAATGGACAATAACATAAAATAAATTCCAATGTTTTGAAAACTTCATTGTGTTTAATGTTTGTAGAGTATACTAATATTAACATAAAAGTTTCAAATCTCCTCGAAGAAAAATATTTTTTAATTATAACAAAATAACTAAAATCGGAAATCTTTGTTTAAATATCTAATTTCATCCAAATTCGAACCTAAGATATTTATAAAAATAAATTGCTTATATATTTTTGGGTTTTTTTATTTCTGTATGAAGTTATGAGAAACCTTGTATTAAATTATCTAGCTTTTGACCAAGCAAAAATATTTTATTAATAATTATTTTTAAAAAGGTCAAATGTCTATAAACAGCTGAAAAATAGTTTACATTTTATCATATGAAAAAATGCTTGTATAAACATTTGATGAAAATTGCAGCTATTTACTTGTATTCAATATTCATATTGAATTACAACAATATAAGAAAATCAATTTTGTAGAAAACTGGTTTTGTATATAGATTCCAGTTTTTTCCAATTTTTTGTTTTATGTTTTAGTTATTCCTAATTAATAATTATTAAGAATAGTAAGGAGAGTTTTTAATTTTGACCTCCCAAAAGCTCCAACTTCACTTTTCTACCAAATAAAATATTGAAGTTGAAAATCTAAGAATTTTTCTACTATATAAATCGTGTATACATCCACAAAAAACAAGCATTATTGTAAAATTATACAATCGTGGCGCCGCTCAGGATTAAAAAAAACAGATATTGACCGTGAAAATAATAACAACTAATCACTCTGTATATTACAGGTCACGAGTGTAAAAATACCTATAAACACGATGCGTAAAGAATGCATGACTCATTATAATTTATATTATTAAATGCAATAGGCGATGGACGCAGCTCATAGATATTTCAGTATAAATAGATATATTTAGAAATAGTATCGAGATATATTATTTACATATACGTTTATAGATACAGTGTATTTGAATGTTTGGAAACACTAAAAACACTTTTATGAGATTCGGACTTTACCTACTTTTACTACTTGATTACATGCAACGATTTAAGATCAATAATTTTATATTGTAATGTCGCAAATGATTATAAAAATGTATATTATATTAACATACTGTCAAGTGTTACCATTTTATATTGTTACCATTTATATGAGTTGAGGTTTGATATTTTTTTTAGGCGCACCGTGTACACGCACTCACGCCCACACATTCAATATGACTAATAACATACTACGTCTCTGAGACTTCAATAACCGCTGGATAATAATATTGTATACTTGACCGGTAAACGGAATTTGTTCGTATAAAGGTCAAGAATTATACTGTATTATGTGTCTGGCTATGGTATTCATGACGTCGCTATTTGGGCGACTGTAAGTGTTAATAGTAATAATAATATGCTAATGTATAATGACGTTCAATGGAATATCATTTTTGATGATGTCTTATATAAGTACGTCGTAATCCGACGAATACATTAAAAATTATAAATATAGACGCCACTGAAATTAGTTGTCGTCTATCGTGAGAGTGCGTGACTGGTGACGATAAAAAAATATATACACATGCATAATAGGTATAAATTATATATTATAAAATGTAATTCGTTCAGTGGCCGGTTGGATTTTTGCTTACCTACCAACGAATTCACGATTGTAGTAGTAAAGCTAACCTTCTCAGTGTAGTATAGATACAATTATTTTAATATCGACGTCAACCGATTCGATTTCTATTCCATAATCAATAGTTTTTGAATTTATAGCTATTAGATTTTTTACGCAATAGTGAATTTCTTATATTACACATTTCGCATACTTTATTATAATTTATAATAATATAATTGCCCGTCTCAACAAATAAAATCGAATCAGTTTCTTTTCGCAAATTTAGGAACTTTTATGGCTTTATTTACAAACATTTTTAACTTTATTTACTATAATACATTTTACTATAATGTATTTTACTATAATGTATTTTACTAAAATGTATTTTACTATAATGTATTTGACTACAATGTATTTTTCCATAATAAAACAATTGTTTAAATACATACTCGCAAATTAGAACAAGTCTCTATTATTACATTTAATTAATTGTTTTCTACGCATTGACTACTAATACCCTAGGGGTACTATTAAACTAGGGTTCTTTTTAAATCAAAATTTGGAAGATTTTCCTTGGAACTGTTGTCTTAGGAGCTCTTATATTATATGAATGCCCTCGATTGTCTTGTTGGTATTCGAAAAATGGAATCGTATGCAAATCTGGTTGTGATAAAGGAACTATACTGTTCGTTGGTCGTTTCCGGCGATTTAAGAAGGCTGTTTTCTCCTACAAACACGATAAAACTGTCAGGAGGCTTTAAATGTGTGGGTATTTACTGTCGAGTACAGGACAGACTCGATATGATATGGCTCTAATAAATTCCACTCAAATGTCGCTACCGATAGGTCAGCGTTATCTTAGATTATTAGATTCTCCGTTATTTAGGTTTATCATTACCAATAATAAGTACAACCATGGCGTGTGGAGTGCATCCCTAGGGTATGTTTACCTTTTCCAAAAGCAATTTGATCGTTTCCGGGGCAATTCCTCCGTCGCCGTCGTTCGCGTGTCTCCGGCGGCGACGGCGGCCTATGTGGCCCAACTGCAACAGCAAAGGGGTTTTGACGAGGGCCGACAGCACTCCGAGCAGTGCGATTCCGGCCAAAGGCCACAACAAAGGCTGTACGTTCAACTCTCCGGAGTGATGGACCTCTCCACCGCCGTGTTGATGATGCTGTAGATGTGGATTGGCATGCTGATGATAAATCACCTCTGGTGGTGGCCCGTTGCTCTGCAGGTGGTGACTAGCCTGATCGTAAGGGCTGAAGTACTCGGGTCGTTCGTCGTAGTAGTAGTCCTTGGGTGGGCCATATGAGTTTTCCACCGGATAACCGCCAGCCGGACCACCACTGTAATCTGTTTAAGCAATGCATCTCAACGTCAGTACAAGGCGTATACTAGTGTGTAGTAGTTTTGAACAAGGCTGCTAAAAAAAAAATGCCTTAAGCGAAATCTGAGCTCTCTTCGGCAGTCTAAATACGAACCTTCCCCAAGTGTACATAACAACATTGATCTTAACATACAGAGTGGTCTCTGGTTCAATAAGCGTGCCCGCTAGGAGCTCCTTTTATGCATTTATTAAAAGTCTTATTTTTAAAATGTTGAAGTATAGTTGACTATATTTTAAAATGCTTGGATTTTATAATACTATTTAAGGTCTTGTGGCAAACTTATTTTTCAAATGACAATCACCCTTTCAATGTAAATACTAAATTGCTAACCACAGAATTTTTTTGAAAATCGTTATACATCTAAATCCTTAATTAAATTCGAATCAGTAGGTACCTACTTGGCTGCTTATGAACTAAGTATAAAGCCATAATAATGTTTGATTATGGTTTTACATAACACATAATATAGATGTAAATATTAAAATATGTAATATTCAGTTTAGAATCTATACTTATTGTTTAGACAATTTGTACAGACATAAAATTCTAATATATTAATATTTATTACTATAATTTTAAAATCATCATATTATATAACCTTCATTTCGTTAAACCTATTATCATGGATTATTATCCTTAATAGGTAGGTACTTAAAATTTAATAATTCAAAAACTACTCTTTTAAATTTGAATTTATGTTCCTACATGAACATTTTGTAAAAAATAATCAGCTTAGAAGAATAAATTTTTTTATCGATACAGGAGGACAATCCTTAAATGACATAAAAAAAACCTAGATATTTGAAAAATGGTATTCCAAAAATCAGAATTTAAATAATCGTGTTATTGAAGGAAAAAATAGGGTTAAGCGTAGTTGGTGAATCACCTTGTAGATATGTGTCATAACATATCGTACGGGGGTAAAACGAGATTAAGAGACTTGGCAGACGTGGTAATTAAAACGAAATAGGTTTTTTAGGAAGTCTAGTCGCTTGTAAATATATGACCGCACCTCCGCAGCCTCGAGGGAGTGTCTGCTAAGTTTTTTTTATTTTTTTTTATTATTATTACTATGGTACAATCGGGTCCATAGGTTATTTATACTAATGTTATTAATTATACATATACCCGTCGTCGTTTACTATTTTATGCATATTATGCATGGGTAGGTATATAATATAAATACGAGTATGTGCGGCGGTTTGACATGTTCGGTACACACGCACACACATAAGGGGTATTTTAATCGAGTCGATGCTAAATTTATGGTGATTAAACCGGTTAAACGTGCTTTGCGGTTTTCTAATATTTTACACACACACACACACACACACACACACATCGTACATATAGTTATTGTCACAGATCATTGCGAAATTACAGTAATTAGGAGGTAACACTACTCACTAGATTAAAATTAATAAACTCTGTTGAAAATATTTTTTTTTCTAAAACCCCTACCATTTCATAACAATATTAATAAGTATATTATAAAACCATTTCTAAGTTTTAGATAACAGTATGTTAGTATTATAATTAATTGGTGTTATCGGCGCTACTTTCTATAAACCGATCGAAAATCGCGAACTGGTTTTAAAATGGTTTTATTCTACAACCATGCACTATACCGGATGCACGCGTGATATTATATAATAATGACCTATTATCAATAATAAAATAAACCGTAGCTGTATGATACGATAGTCGACGGTTTTAAATACCCGACACTACTTGCCTTTTCCTGATACACGGTTGTCCGAACCTGAACCCGTAACCCGGTAACCGTCCACCTGGTTGACTCGGGTCTGACTGGTTTCCAAGCCGTCGATACTGTTCCGGAGATTCGTGGTCGACGAACCGTTTGTTGTGGATTTGGCCACGACGGCGCCCGCGAACGAGCCGTAAAGTCCGCAATGTCCAAAGACCCAGACACAGAGCAACGTGGCTGGTCGGACCATTTTGCGTACAGGCAAGGATTAAAGGACTCTTCTCGACGATGAGAGGATGCTGCGAGTAGTACAGTAGACACGGCAGTGTGACAGACTACGACGAACGCAGGACAAGTCGAAAAATCACGTGTGCATGATGCATCGTCCGCCGTTTCAATTCGGTAACTTTTCTTACGAACATATTGTTCGAAGTGTCGCCAAATTTCGCAACGTCGGCCGACGGAAATTACTATCAAATCTCATTGTTTTCAACGCAATTGTATTTAATAACAATAAATAATAACTTTATATCGTATGGTGGTATTTAAATAGCGTCCACTTTCCCCAATTACAGCTTTTTTTCATATTTTTTTAGTTGACGACGACATGACATAAATTTAATACGGATATGTAATCGTATCATTATACGCATAGATTTTGTCTCAACTGTCAAAACATTTATCTTATAATAATATAATGTCGTTACGGTCTCGCCGTCGCGTTTACATCATCATTACAATACATTACACATTATATAGCGCAATCAAATTATTATTGTTATTCTCTTCTGTTTCAAAAATTATTTTTCGAATTTCACACCGTTCAAGACATAATGTACATCATGGACGGAATGTATGCATGCTGTACATGACGATCCGTGAAATAAAATCGCAGTCAACGGTGCTGATGGATATTGATTGCGGTTCAATTATTACTGTAAATACATTACATTTTTACATGCAGGGCCGTTCATGGGATTTGCAAGGTCCATATTAAAAATAATTGTGAAACATTACAAGTCCAACACAAAATGTATATTTACAAGTGTCTTTAAAATATTCACTTTTCACTGTTCATGTACATTGATCACAAGCTAACGAACTTGAAAAGTATTGTTCTTCTTTCGGTAGAAGCAAAACAAATAGTGAAATCATTAATTTTCACCAAAAAAGTTATAGCAACCAGTATATTATAGACAATATCATATCTACAAATATCAAATCAAGGCCATGACCAGTGCATGGAACAAAAAAAGCTTTAGGGTTTCTGAAAGTATTAATATACCAGTGTATTTTACTACCATCATATTCCCCCCACTATCATATTCCCGACCGTGACAGTTGATTATTTATTACATGATATTAATTATATCACTACTTTATTTCTAATTAATTCCAAAGTTATTTCTCTGTAAAACATACAATTTTAAATGCTATAAAATAATATTTTTTCTGTAATAAATTTTAGATTCTGGGGGTCTATTTTTGAATGTCATATTAGTACAGTAAAATATCATGTTTTAGTTCAACTATTAAAGCAAGAGCAAAAAACCGTATTTTTGAACGGTGGCACACTAAAACTTTTTTATTAGTGCACTAAAACTTTAGACAAACTTATTAGAGTGGGTATCTATGATCTATCACACTAATCGTGTTTTAGCTTATATAAATAAATATAATTGTATTATTTTTTGTGTAAAAACAATACAAACATATTAGTAGGTTCCCAGGTACTTTAAGCGAAACCATTTATTTGTGAAATCGTGGCCATATTATTATATTAACATATTATATATTTTTATAATAATTACTAAATAAACACTTTAATAATATGGAACACTTGGTTAACTTAAATTACCTCCAAGCTGTAAACATTTTGGAAACTGTCGAAGAAGGGCAAGATGTAGTCCGATTTCATATAGCAGAGGATCCTTTTGTTGGTTTCTTAAATGGAAAATGTACAATAATATATATTGTTATTTTAATTTTATTAATAATCAATTAAAATTAATTACCTACATTAATAGATAAGATACGGATAAATAATATTATATTTTTTATTGTAGGTTTGACTGAAAGAGCATTTGTTAAAAAATTCAGGTTAACCTAACCACTCGTAAATGTATTAATCGACGAATTGCGTCCCTATCTCGAACCACCAGCTAGGAAATCTGCAATAAGTATCGAGCGTAAGGTAAATTAATACCTATATATTTGTCATTTATAATATAATACCTATAATCTATATGTATATATGGGTACATTAGGTACAGTGTAATCTTATCCTAAATATGATGATACGTATAATATAATATATTGTAATATTGTATATATTATAATAATATATAATATAATGAAATTCAACGTATGTTACCCCCACCCTCCAATCTGTGGTCTGTAGGTTATGTTTGTTAAAATTCAAAATCGTATAATTAATAAAAGATCGAATGCACGATTTTATGTTATATAACCCTAATCTCCTTGAACCCTTAGGTTTATGTTTAGCATTACATTTTATCGTTTGTTTAAAATTGAAAGACTAAAAAATAGATACCTCTAAAATATTATATAATCATAGCCTAATTATTTATAAGTTACCAATAATTATAAATTGCAACGATTTAGGTATTAACAGCTCTACGATTTTTTGCGAGTGGTTCATACCAACAGGATATTGGGAAAAATCGGGCTTCATCGTTAAGTCAACCTTCGGTAAGTAAATGCATTACCGAAGTTTGTAATGCATTGAATATGCCTAATATTTTTAATAAATATGTAAGTTTCCCATCAACATTGAACGAATTAAATCATACCAGACAGGAGTAAGTATTTCAACAATTTTATTTTCATTCACATGTATTATCTATAGGTAAATAACAGTATAAAATATCTACTTTGTTTTCTAAAACACAAAATTAAAAAGGTTAAGCAATGGATGTATTGATTTTAAATCGATGTTTATTTTCTTTTTTGGTTTGGGTCCATCATCTCCTTTTTTAGCAGTAAAAATGCTTCGATTTCTATTCCGCATCTTAAAGTGAATCTAGTTGGTACGTCGAGAGGTCAAAAGTTCAAAATTCTCAGTAGTTTTTAAAAACTATTTTACATTGGGAAAAACAAAAAAATAATTAAGGAAAAACAGGAATTTTCAGAAGAACCTAATTTATTTTAAATTATTATTGATGAGTACTTGAAATTGAGTAATTTATTGCCAAAAGCATTGCATTTTAAAATGTCATTGTGTGTATAATAAAATATAACAATAAAGTATTTACTTAAATATAAATGCTATAAAAACAATAATATCAAAACAATATACTTAGTTATATAGGCCAACATACTGTCTTCGACCAGAATCGTTCTTCGTATACTATACTATTACAATGATTTTATATCATTGAATTAAAATTTTAATTCATCCACACCCACATGACGACTAATGTGCAGCAAAGTGATACACACTTTCACATCTTTTTTAGTGTGTCATAATATAACGCTTTAAGACTTTTGTGTATTTTAAAGTTCCTTGTAATATTTATACTAATTGTCACTCAAGCAATAAGAACGAAAGAGTTACGAGATAAATGCATCCTTCTATGTTACTGAAAGTAGATAAACTTGAAATTAACTGCTAATTGTAACACTTCTTCAAATGTATTGAATGTTTCATCAACTAATTTATTAACTATCTTATATAAATGGGTAAGTATTATATAATTTTTTGGTATTACACCATTAAATACAATGAGGTAAATAAATATCATTTGATAAAAACAAAAAAATATTTTCCTAAGTAAACATGAGAAACTGTTTATAGGTAATACGGATTACGGGCTACATAAAACTCATAATCCACGTGTCTATTCTTTATAAAAAATTATGAATTACTTAGGTATCTATATTATATTATAATAATTAATATGGCTAGAACACATCACATGTTATACATAGATAATGCAATTTTTGTTTTCGCCTCGAACCAAATTTTTTCTTCGAAACCCAGAATGTAAGTTTGTTATCATAAGTATTTTGGAAGTTGTCTAGATAGATTTGTACAAATAACTTTAGATATTAGAAGACATTTTACAATTATTCAAATGAGAATAAACACTAGATATCGTGTTTCACCTACATTGAGAAAATTAATTTTTAATTCTTAAGCAATAAGTACTGCTCAGTACCAACTCAAAGTAGAAAGTGAAAAGAAGAAATTAAAAATGAAAACACTGAAACCAAATATACCCATGAAGATTGCTAGAGTGCATTAAATTTTGTCACTTATAAGTTCTGATAAAACGGTTCTTCAATAATGTATGTTATATTGCCTATATGCATATATTTAAAGGGGTTTTAATAAACATTTATTTTGCAAATATAATTTAAGATTTAAGATGGATAAATAATAATTATTTTTATTGAGATTATAATTTATACTAATAAATAACAATTATATAACAGTTATATTAAAACAAACTATTCAATTATTTTTTAAGTATCTATCATGTACGAGTATATTATGGGCTTACCTAATTTCAAATTAGTTAATAACAATAAAACCACATTAGTTATAATATTTCTTTTTGTATCATCCACCATTAGTAAATTACTATACTATGTCCTTCATATTATCTACAAACTAAAATAATATCAGTAATGCAATGTTTATTAACCGGTTGAAAATTGGATGCCACCTGAGGTTAATCTTAATAGTCTTATTTGAGACAAATACATAGGATTATAGAATGTAGAATAGTATAATCATATAATATTTTTTTTACAAACACATTTTTGAAAAAAAACCCACACCTCCACATGAAAAACCACTGACCCCAAAAAGTAACCTCGTAATTAAATGGCTTCAAATGTAGCAGCTTATAAAATCGTAGTTACTATATACGCACCACATGGGGAGTATTTTCGTATATGATGCACTTGTCTACCGGGTAATTGAATTTAACGATTTAATTCAACGTTCCTCATAAGTTGTTTTTAAAGCAGTTAATAAATATTGGAAATAATTTCTTACCATTCTTCCTTATAAGCATTTGAAGTTCTATGAAGAAATTTGTCGAAATCATGTATGTAGATTAGCAAATTATTATTGTGTAGAGACCTAAAGCTTAGAAATTTATCTAATACTATATATATATACCTGTTTACTCATACGTTTAATCGCGTCATTTCAGCTTTTTTTAGGTGTGCAAGATTTCAATAAATTTCACCTATCTATGTACATTATTTTCCTCTTAATTTTTTCCTTAGTTTATAGGACCACATCAACATAAATAGTAAAATTTAAGCTAAAAGATAGTAAATAATTGATGACTTTACCTGTGAACATCAATAAGTAAAATAAGAAAATTAAAAAAAAAGCTTGAGGAAGCTATATTATATAGTCATAAGTTGAAAATAACCAAATTGTATTGTATTATAATTATTATATAAATAAAAGGTTTTGTATGTCAATCATATAAAAAAACATTAAAATTAAAATTATATGAAAAATTATTTAGCTTCCCCCCTCTACCTCTTTAAAAAATAAAAATTAAATCCTGGCAATGAGCTT